ACCCCCGCCGCCATCGCCACCTCCGCCTTCGCCGCCGCCGCCTTCGCCGCGCTGGGGAGCCCGCCGCCGCCCTCGCCGCCGCCGCCCTCGCTTTCTCCTCCGTCACCGCCTCCGCCGAGCCCGCCGCCGCCCTCGCCGCCGCCGCCATCCCCACCGCCTCCGTCCCCGCCGCCGCCGAGCCCGCCTCCGCCTTCACCGCCACCTCCGTCCCCACCGCCGCCATCGCCCCCACCGCCGTCGCCCCCACCTCCTTCGCCGCCACCCCCTTCCCCGCCGCCGCCCTCGCCGCCGCCGCCCTCGCCGCCGCCGCCCTCGCCACCGCCGCCGAGCCCGCCTCCGCCTTCACCGCCACCTCCGTCCCCACCGCCGCCATCGCCCCCACCTCCGAAGCCGCCACCTCCGTCCCCGCCTCCGCCGAGCCCGCCGCCACCGTCGCCGCCTCCGCCCAGCCCACCCCCGCCGTCACCGCCGCCGCCCTCGCCGCCGCCTCCAAGCCCACCGCCGCCTTCACCGCCGCCGCCCTCGCCGCCGCCGCCGAGCCCGCCGCCTCCTAGCCCGCCGCCCCCCTCGCCGCCACCGCCCTCTCCTCCGTTACCATCCCCGCCACCACCGTCCCCACCACCGCCCTCTCCGCCGCCCCCATCGCCACCACCGCCTTCACCTCCACCGCCGTTGCCGCCGCCTCCGAGCCCGCCACCCCCCTCGCCGCCACCCCCTTCGCCTCCTCCGCCGAGCCCGCCACCGCCCTCGCCACCGCCGCCGTCGCCTCTGCCACCGTCACCGCCTCCGCCTTCGCCGCCGCCTCCTTCGCCGCCGCCTCCTTCGCCGCCCCCACCCAGCCCGCCTCCACCTTCGCCGCCGCCACCGTCGCCGCCGCCGCCGTCCCCGCCGCCGCCCTCCCCGCCGCCACCTTCACGTCCGCCGCCCTCGCCGCCTCCCGCTTCGCCCCCCGCGTGCTCGCCGCTCCCGCCCGCCTCGCCGGGGGGTTCGGACACGCCTGCCGACGGGGGATGTGGCTACAACAAAAAAGAGGCCATCTCTCTCACCCTGTCGTCAAATAAGGGCCTGCCTTGGTGGCTGTGGCTCATCCTTGCCGTCGTGGCGCTCCTCCTCCTCTGCTGCCTCTACCTCCTCCACAGGAAGTATCGCAAGAA